TCTCCTTCACAGATGCTGCCAGTCCTGCTGAGCTTTTCCAGCAACGTTGTTTTTGTTCCTGATTTACAGCATCTGCAGTTCTTTTGGTTTTTGTTTTAGAAAAGGAGTTCCTCTCCAGAAATTCAACAAATCTTTGAGCTCCTACTGACTTTTGTGAAACAAGTTATAACTATACGTGTGTAGGAGGACAAATAGCAAACGTATAAGTTTTCTAATCTCAAACACTGACTTTAATTTAGATAAAGAACCTAGAATTGGGTTTGGACCAAGCGCATTCTGAGCGAGACCATATGAAACTTGAACTTCAAGGAAAGCACAAAGAAAGTTTGTTGCTGACACAGGAGATGGGATCTGTTAAAACATCATTGCAAGAAGCAAAGGACAAGGTATTGTACATGCCTGTTAATTGCAGCAATGCAAATGGTATTGAACAATAAAATCAGCCTTATTTTCTGGATAAAGCACCACTCCAGTTGCAATTAACCTTTTTGACAATTTAATTATGTATAAAAATAATTATCAGTGGTTGCGGGAGGTGAAAAGCTTCTTTTTTACATTAAGGATCTCGTAGAGAAGAAGCTTGTTCAAAAGTATCTAGAGCTTAAATTGAGTTAGGTTTCAGTGTAGATTAGGACACTTCAATTACACAGCAGCTATTAAGCTCCACACTGAAACTCTGCAGTCAGCTAGAGGATTTGAAAACATTTAGTTTTAAGCCGAGGCATCCAGAAATGCAGAGTTCGGAAAGTATACTAATTTGCCTTACTTACAAGACAGGCACAATGCTTTATTGCACAAATAATTGTATAAACTAAAAAGTAATTTGCAAAGTAAATTGAACTGTGGAATTTACAGCAAAGTAGTCTCTTTTTAAATGGGACAATGATAAGTCCATGGAATTTCAGCAATAGTAATTACACGAATATATTTGTGTATGTGTTTTCTGTGCGTATCTTCACACAGTTTCAATAACAAGATGATTTGGTAATAGTAATGACTCCATTATTGTGGAATGTTTTCCAAGCTGGACTAGTGTTACTCCATAATACAGGAGGTGTGTTGGAACTGCTTATTAACTGATTTCTCTTCTGTATGACTGCAGTTGCATTTTATACTCATTTCATTTGTTCATGCCACACTAATTGACAATGGTATGTGGTATTATGATTTAAAAACAGTCCCACACACAAGTTTCGAAGGACAAAAACTGTTATTATAATGCTAAATCTAACGTTATTGAAATAATTAATATGTTGTTCTCTGAACTATTTGTCTGACGTGTTTTTGTACATTACCAAGTGCACATTATTGTTGCTGTGATTCTGACAGATCAGCCAAGTGCATATCCTGGAGACAGAATTGGAATGTATGAAAAAAGAATATCAGATTTTGCAAAACAAACAAGTAAAATTGGAAGCTGACCTGGTGGAGTCGCAGAAACAGGTACGCCACTGAAGTTTCCATAGATCTCTTTCCCTTAATGTCCCCCCACTTTACAATTCCTCCTTAAAATCCAACTCCCTGATAATGCTTCTTTGAAGGACCTTTGGACAATTGTCATGACCACATATCCTCATATTTCCTCAGAGTGGTCTGTGAACTGAGAATTTGTATAAGTTTGAATGGAAACCCCTTTTATTTTCCAAATATTACAATTTAAAAATAACTAGCAGAACAGTTTTGTATTTTAAACACGGTTAAAAAGTTGGTTTAACACATAACTAGTGCTAAAATGGAGCTGGTTTGTGGTGATTCATACGGATCTCACTGTATTTTCATAAACACAAGTGACAGTAAGTTGCTATTCTATTCTGAAAGTCACATGGATAAATGAATTGGAGCTAATTACTAGCAAAAGATACATATTTGAGGAGCTAAAGTAACTAAGGATAAAAGCTATGTATGAAAATGGAATCAATTTCAAGAATTGTCCAGGCCTAGCTTGCTTAAAAGTGCTCTTTCTGAAGTGAAAGACTTGAAACAAAGGCAAATTCAGTGATAGCTTCTGTGGTTGAAAGTTGGAGGTGTTCCTGTAAATGAACTAAGCAAAATATGTCCAGAGAGTAAGTGAAGACTCCTTTATTTCACTTCGATGGAACTGCTGATTTTGGCTCTTTGTGACCTGGTTCAGTACAAAAGCCTTTAACTGGCTTGTCCTGAAAGCCTTCCTCTTGAGACGATGTTTCAAGATATCTCTCAATGTTCAATTCTGGTCTCCTTGCTATAGGAAAGGTATTGTTAAACTTGAAAGGGTTCAGAAAAGATTTAAAAGGATGTTGCTGGGGTTGGAGGGCTTGAGCTATATCGGGAGAGGCTGAATAGGTTAGGGCTATTTTCCCTGGAGCATCGAAGGCTGAGGGATGACCTTATAGAAGTTTATAAAATCATGAGTGACATAGATAGGTTGGATAGTCAAGGTCTTTTCCCCAGGGTAGGGGAGTGCGAAACTAGAGAACAGAGGTTTAAGGTGAGAGGGGAAAGATTTAAAAGGGACCTAAGGGGCAACTTCTTTGTGTAGCGGGTGGTGCATGTATGGACTGAACTGCCAGAGGAAGTGGTGGAGGCTGGTACAATTACAGCATTTAAAAGGCATCCGGATGGGTATATGAATAGGAGGGGTTTAGGGGGATACGGAACTAGATTGATTTAGGATATCTGGTCGGCATAGACAAGTTGGACTGAAAGGTTTGTTACTGTGCAGTGCCTCTCTATCACTCTAAATGGCTATCCTCAGCTAGCTTTGAATCACAAATCAAATAAAGTGACTGCAAATGTTAATTTTGATCAGTCCACAAAGAAAAATCAGTTATTCTGGAATTCCTCCCTGTTTCCTGATCAGCACTAGTCATAGTCAAAGACAGTCATAGAGTCATTGAATTATTTAAAGACCGTTTGTGTTTGATTCTTAAGAGAGTCCAATTTTCTGCTTTGGCTGCAGTTGAATCCACAGAGAAGTCATGCGGCTTTTGGGAGCTATTTTGTCATATTCCTTATGTCCATTTTAAAGATGGTTTTGCTGCCATATTCTGACTATAAATTTATGACAAGAATGGTAGATATTGTGTGTCCGATTGAATACAAGTTATCTGAATGTAAATCATTGTGTTTTTCGAACTACCAATTTTTTTTTGCACAACAGATAGTTGCAAATTAAATAACAAATTCACTTTCTATTTTGCGGTGTTCTTGAATAGTATCATAAATAGTCCACATAAAACAACTTCCTAATGCTTCTAGTTATGTACCTAATTCTGTCACAGAATTCAATTCCTGACATGATGGCAGTGTTTCAGATTGCAAGTTATCTTGTCTTGAATAATTAAAATTTGATCTTGCCTTCTGTTGCGCAGTTGATTTGGAATTTAAGACAATCGGACAATGTATATAATCTATAATCAGAATTAATATTGAGGATTAAAATACAGAACTTTAACACTTGCTTTTAACAGGGAAAGGAGATCTTTATAAATATGCTGTTGCTGTACTGAGTTGACTTTGCTTACTTGGAATGCGAGAAAATGCTGTAAGCAATCCCATTAAGATCTTCCACTGTCAATAAACTTGAACTCATCCAAACTTCTGCTACTTGTATTTTAATTTGGATCAAGTCCCAGTCACTTAACATTTGTGTGCTTTCTGATTTATGTTGGTTCCTGGCCCACCAATGCCTCATTTTTAAAATGTTTATCCTCTCATTTAATCTGTATATGGCTTTTTACCTCCCTGTCTCTGTAGCCTGTTCTAATGATATAACCCTGCAAGATCTCTGCTCTATTAGAGTGCTCTATTGCTGTCCCTAAACATCTTATACTCCTTCGATTAGGGCTGGGTCACATATTTTGCCTGGTTTTGCTCTTGTGAAATGCCTTGAGAATGCTTTTTCTACATTAAAGACTTTACAGGTTGAGTTTCTCAAAATTGGCAACTTCAGAACTGAATTGGAGTAGAATCTTGCTGGTTTTTTTTGTCAGGCAGTTCGGTTCAGGCTGGTTTGGACTGGGTGGATCAGGTCAAATGGGGTCAAGGGTGAAGGGTCATTCAGACCATACGAAATTACAGCTGTAAGAAGCCAATAACTAGTCTCCTCACCAATGACAAACAAGCCAATGCTATCATGCAATGCAAAAGTAAAAAAATGTAAAGTAGATTTGTTACTTGGCTAACATGGTGTACAAGAAAAACTGGTAGGATTGGTTGATTATAATTTGGTCTTACTTTTTAACCCATTTGTGATTTCCAAAAACTGAGATGTTGAACTTTCACCTAATAATAATCAAAATTCATGTGGTAGCTTAAGGAATGTCTGACTTTTGTCTACTGCCAATTTTCAGATGGCTGGATTTAAGATACTCTATCTGATTAAATATAAGTTGAGCTACACAGCTCTTGTGGGGAGTTGAAATTCGCGTTTACACAAACAAAGAAGCTTGGAATGCCTCACGTTCCTTGAAGCTATTCCAGAGCTGCCATTCATTCCTTTTCTTGTAACTGTTGTATTATCAGCTGTTACTGGTGTGGGAAATGAATGGTGGCTTTGAAACAGAAAGGATTCTGTTTGTAGCAGAACCATTCTTTGTCTACAGTCCTTTTCATTAAATTGTTCCAAATAGAACTTCCTTTTCTTTCATAGTTTGTAATCAAATGTCATCTAGTGATAGAAGAAATTGATTAATCTAACGAAGTAACAAATATATCTTCATTTCCCAGATTTAACTTCCTTATAAACTAACATCCAACTTGTTGAAACCCCTGATTCCTAGGTACATGTGAGGAAGTGCAATGAAACGTAAGGCCACAAGGACTAAGAGCAGAAGTAGGCAATTCAGCTCCATGAGCCTGCGCCGCCATTTAATACAATTATGGCTGATCTTACCTCAGCCTTGACTCCACTTTCCTGACTGCTCCCATAACCCTTCGTCCCATTATTAATTAAAAATCTGCCCATCTCCTTCTTAAATTTATTTTGCTATCCCAGCATCTATTGCATACTGGAGTAGTAATACCCTTGGAATAAAACTTCGAACTCTCATACTTGATTTCCCAAAAGGGGAATTCACTCTACGTCCACTTTGTCAATCTCCTTTAGCATCTTATATACCACTATTAGATCTCTGCTCATTCTTGTAAATTCTAGTAAATAGAGGTCTAAAATCTCTCCTTATAAAACGAGCTTTCATTTTGTGATTTGATTGGAAATCCATCCAGACTAAACATCGTTCTTTGAAGAAAGACAATATTGAGGTCTGAAGATAACAAATTGTGTATCATTAGATTTGGCCTTTACAGTTTGCCATACCACTTGTTGCCAATTGGGCTGAGATCCAGAGCATTTTACATGTGGTAATCTGAAGAGGTCTTTTTCTCTCTAATAGCAAAACAATACTGCTAGCCTAAAGACTTTAGGTCAAACTACAAATTCTTTACTATGAGAAAGAAATATACACAAAAGCAAATTAAATCAGATAAAATCTAACATAAGACATTGTTTCTATGGTGTAGGTATTTCTCAGTGGGTAGCTCTCTCACCTCTGTCAGAACATTGGAGGTTCAAGTCCCGCTTTACAGGTGAGCACATAATTCAAGCTCAGTTATGGAGTGCTGCTCATCAAAGGTAGTGTTAAAAAAGGGATCTGACCTCTGAAATGAGTGCAAAAATATCCTATGACACATCATTGTCCTGAAACAGATGACACTAACCTAAGCATCCCATCTACCCTCTCTTCAAACACTACCTGTCCCACCAATGGCAGAGTGTAATCCTAGCATTGGACTGTTTATTCACCTTATAACACAGCTCCAAGTGGAAGAAAGTCATCCTTGGTCTTAAGGGACAATGTAAGAAGGTGGTGATCTCTGAAAGAAAAATCTAGTCATTGTCTTCTTGGTATTTGTGGGATCTTCTGTGTAGTGACTGCTGCATTTCCTACATTATAACCAATTAACTACTTTTAGCATATCATCAGATTTGGAAAGACAATGTTTAAATAAAAATTCTTCCTGTAAGTATGACAAAGTTCCATCTCCTCTCAGTGGTTTACACCTGTGTTTTATAATGAATGAACGAAAGATATAGAGACGGTAAGAACTACCGATGCTGGAGTCAGAGATAACAGTGTAGAGCTGGAGGAACACAGCAGGCCAGGCAGCACCAGAGGAGCAGGAAAGTTGACGTTTCGGATCGGGACCCTTCTTCAGAAATAAATAGAGAGAGGAGGGGTGGGGCTGGGGAAGGTAGTTGGGATGATGATAGGTGAGTGCAGGTAGGGAATGGTGGGGATTGGTCAATGAGGTAGGAGGAGCAGATAGGTGGGAGAGAAGATGGACAGGTTATGTTAGGTCAAGAAGGTGGGGATGAGAGGGAGGGTTGGTCCACATTTAGGCCATTGGGCTGTAGGCTCCCGAGGTGGAATATGAGGTGCTGCTCCTCCAGTTTGCGGGTGGCATCATTGTGACACTGGAGGAAGCCCAGGACGGACCTATGCTCTGTTCACGACAAATGACAATGCCTTCTGGTTGCGAACCATTTCAACTCACCCTCTGACTCCCTGGGTGACATTTCCATTTTACCAGTTTCAAAATCTCCCCACCCCCGGCCTCATCCCATGACCAACCCTTTCTCTCATCCCGCCTCCTTGACCTGACACAACCTGTCCATCTTCTTTCCCACCTATCCACCCTTCCCATCCCACTGACCAATCCGCACCACTCCTCACCTGCACTCACCTATCACCATTCCACCAACCTTCCTCAGCCCCACCCATCTATTTATTTCTGAGCTCCCTTCCCCCACCACCACCACCACCAACCCCCAATTTCTGAAGAAGGGTCCCAGCCCAAAACATCAACTTTCCTGCTTCTCTGATGCTGCCTGGCCTGCTGTATTCCTCCAGGTCCACACTGTGTTATCTATAGAAAAAGCTAACCCCTTTTATTGTCTAAACTAGCAACTTGTAGGTCTGGATGAAGGACTTCCAATCAAATCATAGACACAGATGATGGCAGAAATTCAGATACATTAATAAAAACATTGGCATGCAGTAATTCCGGTTCACAGCTTTTTGAAATCACAATTCTTTTTCTTCATACCTCAACCATCCAAGATAATGACTGCATCTAGAAGATTACAATATTAATTAATAGGTTACCTATCCTAGTATTTCATGCAGCTCAGTTGTTAAGGTGAACTTTTGGAGGTTTATAAAACTATGAGGGGTATAGATAAAGGTGATTGGCAGGTGTCTTTTCCATAGGGTGGGGAATTTCACGATTAGGTGAGAGCAGAAAGATTTAAAAAAAGACATTGGGGCAATTTTTTTTAACATGGAGCATGGTTCCTGTGTGAAATGAAATGCCAGAGAAAATGGTGGATGCAGGTACAATTACAACAGTTAACGACATTGGATAAGTACATGAATAAGAAATTGGAAGGATATGGGCCAGCATAGGCAAGTGGGACCAGTTTAGTTTGGGATTATGCTCGGCATGGACTGGTTGGACCAAAGGCTCTGTTTCCTTGCTGTATGACTCTATGTTAAACATTTGTCAGATACCAGTCCTATAAAGTGCCTTGGGATGCTTTACTATGTTAATGATGCTGTAAAAATGCATATTGTTATCTAACCGGCAGGGTACGTAAAGAATGTAATTTAAGTAGTTTTGTTGAATTGGCCAATTGAAAAATACACTTTCATGAAGTCAATAACATATTCATATGTGAGAAATGGCAGTTTTTGAGCCCACACTTTAGGTTCTCTACTGCACAACTAACTAACGACTTTTCTGCTTTTACCCTCAGTTGTTGGAGGCCAAGACCCACTTGATGCTCTCCCAATCTCAACACCAACATGATGTGCAACAATTAAAGGAGCAAATTGGCAATGCAATGCCCAAAGCTGTGTTGACAGAATTACAGCTAAAGCTATCGGAGGAAGAGCAGAAAGTGCAGCATCTCCAAGAACAAATCGATGCCCAGACTAAGGAAGCAAACAGGTTGATGTGTGGACAACAGGTAAGAAATAAGTCCTGTAGCAGTAACAGAATTTTTGGACCCAAATTAGATCCTGGTTTGCATGACTCTAAATGGTTTAAAGGGCCAAATTCATTAAGTTCACTTTTGAACAGTTTTCCATTCAACCTCCCCTGCTAACTGAACATGGAACAGTTCACTTCCAGAATTGTTCTGGCTGTAGCTTAGCCAGTGTGTATTCATTTAATTGGGGTTGGTTAGCTTGGATGGCTGGTTTGTGTTGCAGAGTGTCACCAATGGCGTGGGTTCAGTTCCTGTACCAGTTGAGGTTACCATGAAGGACTTTCCTTCTCAACATCTCCCCTTGACTGATGTGTGGTGATCCTCAGGCTAAACCACCACCAACTGTCTTTCTGTAATGAGAGAACAGTCCTATTGTCTGGTAGGATTATGGCAATTTTATTCATTTAGTGCTTTTAATGCAGGAGAGATTGCATCATATTAGAGTTGATAATCAGCGGCTTGGTCAAAGACCTGGGCTTTTAAAAAATTTGTTAATAGGATATGGGAATCACTGACTAGACCAGCATTTGTTGCCCACTCCTAATTACTCAGGAGACGGTTAAAAGTCAGTCACGTTGTTGTGGATCTGGACTCTTGTGTGGACCAGACCAGGTAAAGATGGCAAATTTCATTTCCCTAAAGCAGATTAGTGAACAAGACAAGTTCCTAATGACAATTGAATAATGACAATGGTTGCCATAATGCCAGCATTTTTAAAAGTTGAATTTAAATGTCACAACTGTCATGGTAAAATTTGAATCCATGACCCCAGAACATTAGGCTGGGGCTCTGGATTACTCAACTCGTGATTTCACCATCTCAAACCTCTCGCGGAGTAAAAGATTTAGGAAAGGAATTCTTGAGCTGAAGAGCCTTGCATTTGAGAGCCTGGCAACAACTGATGGATACTAACCAAGGGAATGAATGGCAGTTCTGGAACATCAAAGAATCAGAAGTATTCCAAGCCTCATTTAGTTTGTACAGGATGGATCAGAATCATTCTGTGTACAGCCTAACATCTTGTATTTACCTAGTGGCTTACAGCAGTGCAATCATACAACATTTTACTCCAAGCCAACAATAGACACATTAGCAGGGACAACTAAAATTTAAGTTTGAAAAAAGACATGTAGAGAAGTTTCGTGAGGGAATTTGAAATCTGGATGGCTGAAAGCATAATTGTCAATGGTGGAGTAAGGTAAACAGATCTGTATGGCATTGACACAACTGGAGCAAAGATCTTAGAAGGTTGTAGAATTGGATAAAGTTATAGAAACAAAGAGGAAAGGACCAAGGAGGGATTTTAATGAGGCATTGGTGGACCAATAAAGGGTGTAGATCAGCAAGAGCAAGGGTGATGAGTGAATGAGATTTTTTTCTTATTCATACATGGGATGTTGGTGCCATTGGCTAGATCAGTAGACATTATCCATCCCTAATTGCCCTGGAGGTTTGCCCATCACCCCTTCACTCACTGACCTACATTAACGTGTAGGTTAGCAATGCCTCAAATTTAAAACTCATCCTCTATTGCCTCATCGCTCTCTATTCCTACAGGCTTCAAATACTCCAATCTTCTATCTCTGCATTTTTTCAATTCTGCTTTCCTTTACGTCCTCCTTTTTTCACCTCACCATTGACAACCATAATTTCAGCTGTCTATGCTTTAAGCTTGAAATTCTTTCACTAAACAATCAGCCTGCTTGAAACCAACTCACACCTATCCCTGTACCTTTGTGGTATTTTCACATTTTTGTCTGTTGCGACTCCCATGAAGTACTTTAGCATAATTTAAAATGTTAAAAAATATAAATTCAAGTTGTAATTATTTGATTGTTGAATGCAGTCCCAAATTGAGACAATACCACCTTGTGGTCACTGTAGGTCTGACTCTCGGGATTTTGTTTAATCATTCCACGCTTGCCTGTTGTATGTCCTTTTGTTATTTTGAGACGAGATGAAGAACTTCAGTTAAATGGAGAAATCACAGAAGTGGTCAAAATTATGAAGGTTTGTGATTTGTGATGGGGAGAAAATGTTTTCAGTAGCATGAGAATTTACTTTCACGTAGCAAATTGTTAAGATTTGGAATGCATTTCCTGACACTGTATCTACCTCCACCACAATCAATTTCAAAAGGGAACTGGATACGTACTGGAAAAGACTAATAGTATTTCCAAAAGCTGGCATTGGCACGACAGGTCAAATGGCCTTCTCCTTATATGATTCCAGAAGTGTTGGTATTCAAATGCATTTCCAATATAAGGAGGGATGATGACCTCGTGGTATTATCGCTAGACTATTAATCCAGAGACCCAGGTGATGTTCTGGGCATCTGGGTTTGAATCCTGCCATGGCAGAAGGTGGAATTAATCTAAATGGTGACTCTGCAACCATTGTCTACTGTCAGGAAAAGAACACCTGGTTCACTACTGTCCTTTAGAGTAAGAAACTGCCATTCTTACCCAGTCTGGCCTACTTGTGACTCCAGACGCACAGTAACATGGTTGACTCTTAACAGTTAGAGACAAGCAATAAATTCTGGCCTACCAGCGACAGCCATATGCAGTGAATGAATAAAACGAAAAATCCGATTGGGCAATTTTTCACTTTATCAAAGCTCAGTCTCTTTAATAAGAGAAATTACTGTGTTCCATTTCAGGAGGAGTACAAAAGACTTCTAAAACAAAGGGAGGAAAGAATGGAGGAGGTTGAACAAAAGCTGAAAAGTGTACGAATGATGCTTCAAGATAAAGCGAACCAGCTCAAGGAACAGGCAAGTAAATGCAGCGTACAGGGTTAATATGAAATAATATCATGGCAGTCACAAGCCACTGCCTTAGATCTTGATGTGAACAGAAATACACTACTAAAATAAAACAGACATTTTTCATATGCAGTGTTTTATTATTTGCACACTTCAAAACATCTTAAAAGTAGCATTTACAGGCAAAAATAAACTTATTCACCTTATGATACCCCTATCTTTGGTGCAAATACACAGGTTTTTCAATATTGAGGTCCTTAGCTGCAGTGCTTTGGGTGTTTCTCACCTGGCTACACTTTTTCCTCAAGATTGTAAAGACTCTGCAGTAATAAATTCAGACACTTGTTTGGGTGATGTGTGGACTTTGATTAAATGCACTATTAATAATGGCTTGCTGATCAACATTGGCTGCTTGTTTGGCAATACCCTTTTTTTTTTAAACACCCTGTTCCTGGAGATTGAAGTAAAATGAACTCAGACGTGATTCCTTCCACGTAGGCCGAAACACCAATCAGCGCAGCGTGTTTGGCAAGATTAAGTGAGAAAAGTCACTCGACCTTGTGCTGAGAATAACTCCTCCAAATGTAATGTGACTCACACTTGCTCAAAAAGCTGTTAAGATTCAGTCTATTGCGTCTGAGTGCTCCAGTGAAGCATCTTTGGGCATGTTACTATGTTAAGTGCTGCATAAATGCAAGTATTCGATTATAACAAATTGATTGTCTCTTTTTTGCCTTCAGTATGCAAAGAATGCCAAGTCTGATTCAATATTGAAGGATCTGTATGTGGAGAATGCCCAGTTGATGAAAGCATTGCAGATCACGGAGCAGCGGCAGAAAGGTGCTGAGAGAAAGAATGTCTTGCTGGACGAGAAAATCGCAGCTTTAAACAGAGTGTTAAGAAAAATTGCTCCAGCCTCTTTCTCTTAACTGTGTCTAAGCACTACTACTCTCACCATTTTAAGCTCATCAACCCAAAATGTTAATACACTTTCTCTCTTGTAGCCAAGCCATTTGTTAATTACTGACATTTTCTGTTTTTATTTCTCATTTCAAGCACCTGCAGTATTTTGCTTTTGCATGACCATTTACCTCTGGCACTTTTTGCAAAGCATATATTGTTCTTCATCCCAATAAAATTACTTTGATACTGATCTTTCCATGCGTAATCAACTAAAATCAAGTTCTCTTCTGATATTCTACTCAGTTTTTCTCTCCATTATGCAATGCTTCAAATCTTTGTAAAATCCTGATTTAGTGCTTAGTAGGATATATGTTTACAATGCAGATTATCAACTTTTCCAGTCAATAAACTGTTTGCTCCTACCTTTGAAAGAGATTTGAATAATTGGTATGTGTTTTCCCGAGAGGGTAATGCAGCTATAATGGTAACAGCAACCTTGCAACAGACCCAACAAGGGTTTAAGTACATTTTTGCATGTATTGATAATGCATCATCTTGAATGAATGAATGAGATAATGATGTTACAAAATTTTTACATTTATTGTATTTTTTTTCTTGTTCCATTATATTTACTTTTTTTCCTAAAGTAACTTGATTGCTGTATGATGTGTAAGATGGAGTTTTGATATGAGAACTATGTGTAAATGTTCAGTTATTTGAAGATAAGACAATCTGTAAATGCTGATCCTGCTGTGCAGAAATGATTTTTTTTATTTAACTGACTTTGATACTATTTTGATAAATTTTTATAAAAACTAAAAATATCATCCAATTATATTGATTTGAATTTTTTAACATATTTTCTAATCAACCCGTTCAGAGAGGTTATGATGCACCTCTGGAGAAGAGAGAGCAGTGAACCAGGAGGCCTGGGTTTAAAAGGTATGGACATCACCACTGTGCAACAATCAGTGTCAAATATATTCTCTAGACATTTTTAAAATCAACCTGTTCAGACACATTCACACCTTTGGAGCAGGTAGGACTTGAACCCAGATCTTCTGGGTCAGAGATAGGGACACTATCACTGTGCTACAAACACTGGTCAAATGTATTCTTTGAACACTTTCCAATCAACCTATTGAGCTATTATTACAGACCACCTGGAGAAGGGTGGGGGAGGACAAAAAGAGAACTTAAACACAGGCCTCCTGGATCAGAGGTACAGCCACTACCACCGCTAGTGCAAGGTTTTACACAACCTCACTTCATGTTATAAAGATCAGTTCATATAGCTGAGTTGCAGGTTCCTATAACATGATCATACTTTGTACCTTTTGTAAAATGTCCATATTCCCTTGCTTTAGTATATAATTGTAGTAACTGACAAGTAACAACCCAAGTCTGTGACATGGACTTAAAATCACAGATCATTGATCACCAGTTTCTTATTCCAATCTCTTTGTCTGAAACCTACAATGTCTTATGGTTCTCAATGTCCCTTAAACTATAAACATAAGCTTCATGAATTTTTCCATGAAAATTAGTGTTTCTACTTGTAAAGGAGAATTAAGCTAACAGCCAAAGAATTTTAAAACTTGCTCTAAAGTTAGCAAAGCTGACGTTCACAGCTAAATCACATTTTAATTTAAAATCTACAAGATACAGCCAATACATATCAAAGCAACAGTCCAAGCTAATAACCTAGTGGGTGTAAAAAGTCCATTTCTTTAAACTGGAACTCAGGACAGCACATGCTCCAAGATCCCCTGACGAATTAACTGTTCACATTTCCACCTGGGCATAAAATGCTGAAAGAAAACCAAACACCAAAGTTTAATGATTTCATTTTCCTCTAGTGAGAATGAGGAAAAGAGAAAGAGGACAGAACCAATTATAAGCTAAATCCTTACACTTTCCTCAATCAAGAATAAAGTGGCAATGACATTATTAATATTGGAAAGGCCTGTTAGCATCTAACTGGTAGTCTCCCCACACATTGGGCCTTAACCACCAGAGTCAGAAATGGCTTCTTAAGGACTTCAAGTAACTCAAATAGGGTCCAGGTGAGCAGGCAGTCTGCTGCCTTACACGGGAGTAGGAATGCTTCAGTCGGCCACCCATTGTCTTCCCATGCTGTTTTGCCAAATTAAACAGGTCTCAAAATTTAGTCCCAAGAATAAAAAATGCAGACAGATGCAAAGGGACCTCTGGTGGTAAAAATATTTTGGGGTGGACAGAAAGTCTTAATTGAGACTCATTACATTGAACCTAATCTATAAATTTTACAATTATAGAATGGCAGTAGTTGGAAGAGCTCCCTGTGATCTAATATTCATGATGACTGGCCCTTAAAGAAAAATACTTCCCACTCCCCATAGTGATGTATTTTAAGAGACTTTTTCTGTTCAAGGTAATCCATTTTCTACATTTGTTCATAGTGGAGTAGGTTTCATAATTTGTGCTATGTGTCTTAAATACTTTTTAGACTAAAATCATGGACTTATTTCTGAAAACTACTTGCCATAGGAAAGAAGACAAAAAAAAAAACCAAGATTTATAGAAAACAGCCTTGAATATTACCTGAGATAACAAGGTGTAGAGCTGGATGAACACAGCAG